CGCTTTTTTAACTGATTCACTTTGATCTTCATCCTGTACAGTTAATGTCTCACGATAATAACATGAAAATGATTCATTATCTGACCCGTCAACAGATGAAGTTGGTGAGCCATGTAAACCATCGAAACTGCTGATGTCTTTCCATACTTTTCATGAGTAGCTCAAAGAGAACCAACCCAACCAATTGAATCTTGTAGAGCGATTACACCGTTATACTGATTCCAAACGGAAACAGGTGTACTCAGATGCAAAGCTGCAGCAACATGACGACGAGGACGTTTACAAGAAGATACTTGTGATGGTTCAGATGCCCATCGTCTTCAAGTTATTATCATGAGACATTAACTGTGCGTCAACAATAGCTCTAACTGTTTTTATTTTTGTTTGACAATCCTAGTGTAGGCACACACACACACAAAATAATTTTATATAAATGCGATTGTACAGCCAAGCGAATGAGTTCAAAGAAACTCTTCGCTGAACCTTTTGTTCTTGTATTCAAATGTTATCTTGATTTCTACCCCCTCGACCTTATGGTAATCAACATACATGTTTTCGATTGATAGTTTTTACGGATTTAAATTGTTTCGAGTTTAACGGCGGATCTGATGCTCACTAGTGACTGACTGAAGGGCGAAGTAGTTGCCTGGGGTTCCAGTGAGAAGTGATAACTGGTAGGGTCCACCAGGTTGGATGTGATGAGAAATACTCATCAATGACGTTGGCTGGCCGGCCGGCCGCTCTAAAATCGCGATTAGACAGAAGTAAGAGTTAACGGGTTATTGAATTCCGTCCCAAGTGGCTGAATGGTAGACGGGCTTGGCCTCATAACCCGAATATCCTAGGTTCGATCGCTGGTGGGCTCGTACGTGCGTACTTCTGAAGAGTCGCCAAATGAGGCGAAACAGCTATCCAGTACTTCCTGATTTTCAGTGGTTATCTAAATAACATCAGTTCGTGATCAAACGTAATCAAGTGTTACCTAGTAATCACCTTCATATATTGGAAAATACAGAAGTCGCTTTACAGTATATTGCAAAAACCAGTGCGATAATTTATTTATTGATTTCAGTTAAGAATGAAAATTTGGTACATTGACACAAGAACTTACTTTCATTTGTAAACCGGGGTATGAATCTTGCTTCTACGACTTCAGCTTCAATGACTGGATAGCATAGTTGACTCATACATTCGGTTTGGCTCATAATACGAAAAATCTCTTCTGGATGCTTAATTTGTGAAGATATTAAGGAAGTATCCATATTCCCTGTTTCTGTTCGTTATCAACTTTTTCCATGCACACTTAATTTAGTATGCGTAGAATTAAAGGCGCTATTAATTGGAGGACAGAATTTTAATCAACAAATTCTAACGATAGAATCTAACAACAAAATCAGTTAACTGTTTGCATATTTTAATAATTTTGTTTTGTTAGTGTTGTGACCTGATTTTAACCTTTATCAATATTTGTTTCTCTAATTATTACTCAGTTGTTTTTTCTATCTAAGGAAGAGTATGTCTATCGTTTAGTGTGACAAATAATTAAAATCAAAGGAATTCATTTATTCAACTAGTTCTGTACACTAGTTCATTGTCAATAAACCGGCGGTGATATTAATCTAAAATAAGTATTTCTCCCCATTTGATAATGTTGATGTTTGTTTATTTCTGTGTGATATGTAAGGCGTGGAATTTAACTATTGGTAGTAACAGATAGATTCTATGATAAGATTAAGGTATGATAACTTCACAGATTATAGATTTTTTTGTTTGTTTTGTAGTACCAAATGCTCTACCTAGTAAGCAGATACTACCGTATTCTGTTCTCTAAATGAGTACATTGATTAGATTTCTTTATTCTATTGAACCATACTTGTTTCCTATCAACCAAAAACTATCCTGAGCTTTACTTTAATAGAGAATGAAGAACAGTGTCAGCAAAATAATGTGATGCTTCATTCCGTCGGTTCACTAGTTTTCTTTCATCTGTCTATGATTTGTGGAATTCGTGTTTCAACTACAAATAAAACCTCAGTATTCAGTGAAATACTATCAAGAGATTATATTGTAGTTAGTTCAAGAAGTATGAATACTTAAATGAATTCGACGCTGACAAAAAAATCTAAGAAGTCACTCTCACATATGTTATTCAACTGAAATTTAAAGATTGTAAGAAAGACCTGGAAATAAATATTTCAGATCGTATAAATTATATGACAATACAGGGTTTTAAAGTCAATGAAAGTTATTTCAAACACTGCCATACTTTCTGCTCAAAATGTCTTCCTATGTGCGAGTAAGTTTCATCTTAAACTGGCACTAGCTAGGGAGCCTTTGGAAATTAAGGAGCACTAGGTAGATGTTTCACCCTGCTGTGAAACTGGTTAGGATTGAATGCTCACGACAAAATTAGGGATTCATAACCAGGATGGTCAGGTTTCGGGGAAACCAGGTGATTATTCTGCGATTGTACTGGAATACATACTGTGATAAAATCTAACTTTATTATTCATTGAAATAAGTCATGATTTTTAGATTAATATTATGGACGTGAATCGGTTGATTTTGTACATGTTATTATTAGAAGATATTTAAAGCATGAAATGTATAGTTTCGTTACATTACCATAATTGGGTCAGGTAAGGTAAATCAATCCATTTAACCCCATTATACGTCGTATACTCAAACTTATGCTACTTGTTGTCGTTAAGACGACCGTATTGGTCTATCGACCTATTTGGCTCTAAACACTAATCTTGGAAGATCCAATTTATAGTTACGAGATAGACTTCAAGAAGCTAGGTTTCGAAATCAGTAAATTCAAATCTTTAATGTGGATCAGAGAACAGGCAGGTGAATTATCAAAGAAAGACAGCAGATACGTAAAGTAGGATGTTTGATGAAAAGGTGCTATTTCAGTGCTTACAAAGTTTGTTCTATTAGCCATTTTCATATGATAGATTCAATCATACAAGTTGATATCTTCTTGCTGCACCTAGAATGGAAAGACTTTATGTCGATTGACCTCAAAGCGACTGTTTAAATCCGATTACATGCCACCTATGCAAAATAATTTAATTTCAAAAGTTTTTTCTGTAAAAACAATCGTACTTCTGGCCGAGAAAAGTTGTAGGAGAAATCATGATGTAAGGTTTCCGGACATCTGAGACCCTACGTAGGATTCTGAATAAGGCAGGAATTAGAGTGGCATTTAAACCTACAAACTCACTCAGGGACAAGCTCTGTAGGTTAAAGGACCCAGTGGACCCAATTAGACAAAATAATATAATTTACAAAATACCCTGCAATGACTGTGAGGTCAACTACATAGGTCAAGCTAGTAGGTCAGGGGTAGCCAGATTGTCAGAACATAAGAATTTGGCTAAGGTAAGAATGGTTGACCCAGAGAAGATAAGTAATTTAGAAAAAAGCTCGGCAATTGCAATGCATGCATTAACACACAATCACACAATAGGGAGGGAGAGGGTTAAAATTCTAAAAAGTAATCTAGGTAGGTGGAGAGAGAGGTTGATTACTGAATCTTTGTTCATCGAATCTACACCCAACACATGCAATAGGAATGAATCATCACTCATACCTGAAATATGGAAAATAATACTACCAATCAAATCAAGTGAAAAACAATGGAACTATATAAATGAATTTAGGAAGTCGTGTGATTAACTTGATATGATTATGAGCAATAAATTGTGCTCGAAACGTCATCAGTAAATATTACTGTATAACACTGTGAGACTCTATCAAAATAAAATTTACCCATAAGGTTTCCGGAGTCGACACTCTTTAATCCCCTTCAGAATAGAAAGGCAACACAGTTGATCTGAGTAACTGAGTTTCAGTATAGAACTTTGCATAGAAGTGCAGCAGTTCAATTCGCCACTCCTCGTGTAGCACAGAAAAGTAGCGATATGAAAAAAAATGGAAGTACCAAAATGGGCAAAAATGTACCGGGGGAGGGGAGAGTAGTGAAATAAAATAACATGAGGATCTATTGGATCTTGGACATTGCGAAGAGTAAATGCATCCACGTCATTGAAAATGGTTTTGAGCCGTATCCCCAATAATCCCTAATATCTCGAGCAATCCAACCGAAGAGTCCATACCCTTCTACGTAGCCGAGGCCAGATATCAAAGACTTCATGGATTGATCCTAGGCTTTGGTTTAACCATCTAGTCTAATCCTGTGCCAGTTAGCGTTACTGAATAAGGAAAGTGGTGGCTCGGCACAAGTAATACGTGCGCAGTACATGTCATTTGATCCAAAGATGCAAATATTACGTCTACGCCAGAGATGACGTAAGTTGGCCATTGCCAGACAAAACTTTTGTATCAGTGCTGAAGTTGCGTCACCAGTCAGTCCATTGGTGCTGATGCAACTTTTCCAACTTAGTCAATTTCTTTCTATTACCATTTAATTTAATACAGTAGCTACATCTAGTTCTAACGTTTTTCTGCAGAGATTTTTGGTTGGCTATAGGTATACGAATCTTTGTGTTGAGGTATAAAATCAAGTATGCTTATGTATCCTGCTTAATGTACACAACTTTAAATAAATTGATATTTTGGTTGCTTTAATGATGATTATTCAATATCATCCATTATCTTCTGATAACAAATAAACTGTCCTGCTATTTTATTATAATAGGCAAATAATATTGATAAATTGTTGGCATTTGTATAGTTCGTGTACACGATATAACATTTATAACGTTAACATAGTGTTCTGCGTGTAAACTTTTCATTATGGTCTTTATATGATGCTTTTGCGACCTAATTTATGGAAGACAGGGTATTGCACATTCAACCATCATATATATATATATATTTATATTTATATATTTATATGTTTTCAACAGCACATTATCTTCAAATTTTGTATTGTATATGCACATGTTTTTTGTTGATAATAAGGTTCACAATATAGTATTGTCCTCGTTTTTCTTGTTGTCTTTACACAATATATTGTTGTCTAATTCAAGCATACTGATCATTTGAAGATGACTGACTCACCATTTTGTAATATTGCAAACAGAAAAAGGCGTCAAACACTTCTTATAAACGACTTAGGTCTTCAAATACCTATAGTAGAGATTACGCCTCTCAAGATTACCAAGAAAGTAGATGAATCATCTTCATTTATGAACTCTAAAACTGTGTGCTGTAATGATGTCAAACCTGAAATTGACCCACCTGAAAAGTTCATCACTTACGAAAATCTCGTTGATTCAAAAATCTCAGATACCTGCTTAAAGAGTCTACAAGTTGAATCAGCGAAGCTTGTCCAAGAGGAAGTTCAACAACAGGTATGCATTCAAGATACATCAACTATACTTAACGTGTCAGTTATGGATTATTTGGTATATAGTGAAAAGTGTACGGAAAATCTGTCAACCGATATGTCTTCAATAGCTGATGAATGTATAATTGATATTCAGGTAACGAAAAATATATGTACTGTTTGCTTTGATGTGCACAGTTTTGCTTGCCAACGTTACAATGTTTCTTGATGTCGCATCTTTGTCATCTGTGGCTTGTATGCTTATCATATGTCTTGTTTTAAGTGTTCCTGTATACTCAGTGTTGATTGTACGTATGCTTCTTGTTTTAATTTTCCGCTGATTGAGTTCGAGATGTTCTCTCTGCAAAATATATTAACGTTAGAGGGTGAGTTTTAAAATATCTGTTACATCTTTACTGGTTAATGTGTTGATGCCAATGTAAATGGTACATGGCGTCTATTTTGGTTATGAATTTCTCATCCGTGCTTTGCGCGCATCATTTACTCAGTATGTGGTTGGCTTTTATTTTTTGTCTTGTTAAACAGGTTTTCGATATTAACGACGAGGAGCGTGTTGAGATTGTTTTAGTCGGATTGATGCTGCATGTGTACATATATACGTAATTCCGTTTATGATTGTTATGCTTATTGTTTAACATATTTTTTCCTTTCAAAAACTGAGTTATTTTTTATTTATCTCATTATTTTCTTGTGCTTTAGGTTAATAAAAAGTTGGCACAATGTACGTGCTGCAATCGATTACATATGCAGCGTTTAGAAGAAGGTCGATATCGACTAGGTACACGAATTTATTATTTACGCAGGTTTCGAAATCATGTAATGGTTCGAGTTGGTGGTGGCTGGTTAACATTAGATGAATTTTTACAGCGTCATGATCCTTGCAGGCGTGGTATAACTCCATGTTGTACGGAGACATCAGCCGTTCCCCATATCAAAGCATGCCTTGAAGTGACTAAACCAATTCGTAGATATTCTGATTTTGACACATCAATTCCTCGTATAAACTCTGTGAGTAATCTAATGAGGCAGTCGTCCAATAGAAGCAGTAATGGTAGTGTGGAAAGTCCTAGGAGTGAATCCAGTACGGTTAGTAGTACTTTAGATAATGGTATCCCAAATAATGAAAACCTTCCTCCGTTGTCATCAACGATGGTAAATGGAACAAAATCTAAGCAAGTGAAAGCAATAGTTACACCTCGTTCTACTGTACCAAAAGCCCCAACTCTTCGAACCGCTTCACGAACTCGTGAATCCTCTAGAAGTCGTGATGATTCCACAACGAAATCACCGCAGACAGCAACTGTTTCAAACTCCAGAGCATTGTCAACGAAAAGAACAAATCCTACTCAAGTTTCAAGAGATTCTAGAGTAGCCTCACATTCACGTAATCCTTCTGCAAGACGTGATGGTTCTTCATCGAGAGTTCTGGACCTCACAACCGCTTCCCGTTCTCGTGATTCTTCTGCTAAGCGTGAAAAATGTACTTCGAATAACTCTAGATCTCAATCAATATCCAACCGAACACCGTGGAGGAATTAATTTCATTTTTCTAAAACTTTTTCGCTTTCTTTAATTTCATTTGCTTTCTGTTGTTATCTTATTTTAATTAACATCGTGTTTTTGATCGTTTAATTTCCTGACATAATATGAACTTTCTTTAACTATTAGTCGTTTTTTTGCTAATGAAAGGTAGGTGTGCTTATATCATCTTTTATTATTTATTTATTTTATTTTTTGTATATAACAGTTTCATCTAAGTAACACTGAACACCTATGATTTATAGTATTTTTAAATATTTATACATTCTCATAAGTAATTGTTGAATAAAATCTCTCCACAGTGTAATATGATTCAATTATCGATGAACCACTTTGATTTTTTTATGATTGCCAAGTGCGTAAATGTAGTTGTGAGTGTATTCTCCAGGTTTGACGGTGTACTGCTGCTCTATACTTATATGCGATCTGCGGGCAACTGTAGATTTCTTGTGGAAGTCTTTGTCAAATATTATTATCATTCACTCACTGAGTTGCAAGTGGGACGTCGACACTTCTATTCTTCATTCCACTAGGTTGTTTGCAATCGCTTTCTGTTTGATATTCAACTTGAGATCCTGGCATGTGGTGTCACTTAAGTGTCGAGTAGGCTGTTGGAAAGTGCAAAATGAATTATGTGCCAGAGTTACTAAACATATGTAGAGAAAAGCTCACCTACAACACCACATTTATTCTTTTGTAAATATGCAACAGAATAAAACAAACTGACATGTGTGAAAGTCAACTGAATAGAATAAAGGAAGAGATTGAATGTGTGCAGTTAGACGTGATTCGACATATATATATATATATATATATATATATTGATGAAAAATTCCCATATTGAGTCATAAGAAAAAGAATTAATTAGCGAAGAAAATTTTCTTTTCAACGATTCATTTTCATAAGCCGTACAATCGTAATTATATTTAACAAAGAAATCATAAGATCTGTCGGATATTGGTAAAGTTTGTCCTCGAAAAACGTGTTATGTAAAGTAAGGTGTAACCTAGAAGGGGTGACTAATTGGAAATTGGGGAAGAGACTGAAGTTGACATGACGTAATAAGTGTGAGAAAATGACTGATCAGTATGATTGTGTAGAGTGGACAAGAACTAGTGGAAAGACTATAAAGTGTTTTTTTTTTATAAAATCTGTATGAAAACTCAATGTTATTAATAAACAGTAATAGAGTGATTATAAAATATGGATGGTGGGAATAGTAATGATAATAAAATAATAATAACAGTAAACTTACATTATAAAAAAGAGGCAAAATTATAGTAGGAATGTTATGCTGGCCATGATAAGGTGAGTGAATGTATGTATTGCTTTTGGATGCAGAGGTCCGGTTTCAGATCCCTAATAGCCAATGATTCAGCTATGTACAGATGGCATTTTCGAAGTCCCTTTAAACGATATTGAGGGACTCTGTGAAGCATTCATGCGGTGGTGCTTGATGTCTGAAGATGGCAAGGTGTTCGAGGATGGAGCCGTTAACACACCATATCATCAGACCTGTAAGTGGCTAGCTGATATCCTTGAACCAGTAAGAAGACATATGACAGAGTATAGCCTCAGCGATACATTTGACTTCATCGACTCAGTAAAAGATACCAATGTGTTTGAAAGACAAATGCTTTCACGAGATTTCACCTCTCTATTCACAAGCATCCTCCTGACCGAGACAATATGCTTCATTCGTGACTACATTGAAACCAACAATTGAGAAGTTCCTCTTCCCATCAACTACCTGAAGGAACTACTTCTGAGGTGTATGTTTAATATCCAGTTCAAATTTAGTGAACAATTCTATGTACAGAAAGATGGTGTAGCTAATGGGCATCCTCTCGGTCCACTCCTAGCTGACTACTTCATTGTGAGTCTTGAAAACAACATCCTCGATCCTTTGATAAGTCAACTGAACGTATACAGGAGATACGTAGATGATACGTTCACAATTTGTGATGGAAAAGTTGATCAAGAGTATTTCCTGAAAACCTTCAACTCAGCACACCCATCAATAAAACTCACTTTAGAGCGTGAATCGAACGTGGCATTTCCATTCCTCGATGTACTACTTACAAGAAGACAAGACTGTTAGCGTCATGCCCAACTTTTCCTCTTCACCAGCATTATATCTGGTTTAGCGAGGTGAAGGAGTGCGTTGGCCGGGGATCGAACCCCGGACCATGTGCATGATCGGCGAGAGTCCTAACCGCTATGCCACCGATGCACGATTCACTTACATATCTTTAAATTTGGCGCTTTTGGTCTAGCAAGTCTAGTGAAATAGGTATTTTTGGTCACATATAGATTTGTCTAATGTTCAATTTTGCATGCGGTTATTGTTATCATGATGATCAAACGTCAATATCTAAATTCTAAATCCATCATGAGGACTGTGTTATACAGTAATATTTACCCATAATGGAATTACACTCTACCACAGTGCCCAAGTTTTATTCTTATATCAATGAGGACTGTATATTTATCTGGGAACTACTGTTTTTCAGTCTCTGATGATGATGCGACAACATCTGTTAGGGAAACGTCGGAAATTGGTAGAAATTGAAAACACTGCATCATCTGTTCTATGCATCATACACAACTGCTTGTCGAGCTGTATGACTACTATTTGCAATATTCTTTCTGCATTATATATTTCGTACAAAGCACCTTATGTAGGAGTCTGTTGTACATGGTCACGACCGCTCACATGAATAATGCCTTTATGAAATCGACATGGCTATATATATTTTGTTAGATCTTTTCACATCATGTTGAACTGCATAGTACAAAATATTAGTCTTGCATGCATTGCCAAGGAACTCAAAGGTCATATTGAAGGTTGCTGAATTTTCGGCATTGTTTATTCTCGTAAACGCAACTTCGGTATCATACAGGTATTACGAAGTATCACACAAAATAATATTAGAGATAAGTGAGTAATTAAACAGTTTGGGGATAACAGGCGTGCCTACCAAGTACATTTAATGAGTCATTTAGTGCTCCATAATACTTTCGGTTGTAGCATTTTCTCTTCTGATTTCGCGGGACAACATCGCTTGATCTCTTTCTGCCAACTGATACTGCTATTTTAACTATAGTATATTCACTGTATATCCTAATTAACGTATGGTTAGATAGACTTCCCTTCTATAAATTACATCTTGTCGACCATATCTCTTAAACGTGATAAATTGTTAAGTTTAACGTTCAGTAATTGCTATAGTTGTTATAAGTATCTATCTTGGGAACAATGTTTTTCTCTATTCATTTTTTTATTCAGAATTATTTTTATTTAACACAACTACGTGTGTGTTGCTTTAGCTTTTGAGAACTGCACACCAACAATTAAAGTGCGTGCACTATCCAATATGCTGATCACTCATGTAGCTAAGAGTTAAAAAAAATCACAGTAGTCGTGTCATAAATAATTGGTTAAATTCTTTGATGAATTAATATTCAGTCGAACTGCATATCACATGTTCTGACTGGTTATATTTTAAATCATATGAAGATGTATCATTAGAAATGGTGAATGAAATAATATTTTATCATAAATTATGTCACAGAATGATATCAGTCAAAGGACTGTTGAAGACTATGTAGCGTGGGACAACCACATTATTTTAAAACATGGACTCATGAGAAACAGTAAAGTGTTAATTATTGATTACTTCTTGGTTTACAATGGTTTTCTAACTGATTTTGGTTGTAGACGAGATTCAACTGAGATTACATTGAATCCCCACAAACACAACTATTGAATTTCTAGTTTGTGCCGGTGTTGGTTATCTTTAAGATGAATTTTTAGACTAACCAGTGTCTATTGGAATCTGACCAGTTGATTACCCCCGACAAGTTATTAATACAGATGGGGATTATAGGTTAATCAATTTCAGTGGTAGCACGTTCGCATTGATATTCTTTAGTTATGAACTTCGTCGGTGAGTCAAGAGTGTGAAATGTTGAACGGTTCTAATGCAGCACATTACATTTGTGCTTGCCATCTTAGTTTTCAGCAGCTTCCTAACTTATTTTGACTTATCGTAACTGAATGAAACATAGAAAGCATATTCTCCTCTTGTTACTTTGTGTTATTTAGGTACTATCGTCTAGTTAACTGATGACTGAGAGACTGGTGTTAACATAGAAATTTGCACTGATGTACAGCAGTTCGAATCGCCACACTTCACTTAGCACACAAAGCAAGAAGAAATGCCAAACAAAGACAGTAAACAGAGATATGACACAAAAACAATAGTAACATCGAAAAACCTTATAGTTATATTGGATATTATAAGTCAGAAAAAGTGGATGCATCTGCGCTATGCATTGAGAACGATTTTGAGCCATATCACCAATTGTCTCCAGTTGTCATTGGTGTTTACCGTCCTGAGGACCCCAACCACGAAGTTTACACCTCCCTACGTGGCTAGCTTAAACTAACTGTTGTGGATTTCATTGACTCATGAAGCCATGTTTTGGTTTGACCACCACTGGCTCTTTTCGAACCTGATCCCATGTCAGCTAACACTGCCCATCGAGGAAGGCCATGACTGGGCATACGTAACACATGTCCTAACCATCTCAATTAGTGTAACTTCACAACCTCGTTGATTGATCTCCCCTCTCTAACTAGCAGTCATCCGAAGCCTAACCTCAATATTGCTAACCGTATCATACCACCTAACACGCGAGACAGAACGCAAGCACCTATGATCAAAGACAGCTAGCCAGCTTCTTCATGTCTTCCACTTTCAATGGCCATGTCTCAGTCATAGCCATAAAGGAGGACGGAGTGGATTGCTGAGCAGTACACACGCCCTCTGGTCGATAGCCGGATATCTCGTCTACGCCAGAGACGGTGTAAACTGGCATTTACGGAACGAGCCTTCTGTATCCGTGCTGAGATTTCGTCAGCGATCAACCCGTTGGCACTGGCTGATGCAACTTCCCAAATAAGTGAAGTGGTCAACGCGCTCTACCACTTCATTTCCTACTTATAAGCTAGGAATCAATGCAGTCCATTCATGTAGCGTCACCTTACATTTGACAGCAGGAGCAAATCGCATGCCAAACATACGAGGATAGCTGCTCAAGGAGCTCAGACGACTCTGCTCTATTTTGTCAGCGTCTTCACCTAAAAGGACTATTTCATCTTCATATTCTAAGTCAACGAGATTATTCCCTGATGGTAACAAGTCAATCCCTGAGTCACTGAAGTCAGTTAGGATTAAGTCCACTAGTAGTACATATATGATGAAATTAAACAGAAATAGAGATAGTGGACATCCGTGACGG